ATATGGATTTTGCGACCCTTTGCCATAATTAGTTTCATCGATAAAACAGGCACATCACTATTTTAATTTGTGGGAAGCGGCATGTGCTTTGATATAGACACCGACCCTGCCTGGCTGTCATTTTGATAGCGATGAGTTTTTGACTGATGCGCGAGCGCAGCTTTACAAGTTGTATATCGATGTCCTGTAAAATATAATTTCACAAGGGCAAATTCGTAATTCTGATACCTATTTTCTTTTTTATAGTACATCTTATTTTACAAAATTTTACATAGAAAAACTAAAAATTTATACAAAGTCAATAGTTAGTTACTCTTTTTTTTAAATAATATTATATCAGTCGTGAAGGCGTGTAGGATGTTATCTACATACCTTACAAATTGTTTTATGCTTGAAGAATAGATAGAATATTCCTGATAAAACATGCAATATATCTTTCAAACTCACGATTTACATATTAATGAAGCTCCACCAAAATCAATTTAAATATTCATAGAAGAATAAATATATACAGGTACCTACTTACTACCTATTATCCTACCTACTTGCCTATTTATTCAAGTAGATACGATCCTAGTTAGTGCAGAAATAGAGAAATCTACTCCTTGCATTCGCTTATTGATTTCCTTAATTAGGTTCCGCAAAAATTTAATCACCCAAGCTAATTAAATTCGATACCATCAACTTCCGTTGTCTTTACCCTTTTATTAAACGCACTAATCTTTATAGGACCTTAATACCCTGAATTAAGGATTATAATCAAATGACATTCTTACTAAAACAAAGGATTTGAATTCACAGCGATTACTTTCTTCCTTATCAGCCAGACTTTGGAGTTGAAAGTTGCTTGAAGTTTTGTATGAACTGTTAAATGCAGGTTAATGAATTTTGAAACTTATTAAACGGTGTTAGAGTAGATTTTTCTTTGTTTTTTAATTTGAGCGGGAGGGCATGAGGGCTGGCGATGAAGCGTGACGCCCGCCGCAGAGATCTGAGACAGGACGTAACCGCAGTATTTATAGGGCGGATAGTGGTGCTACGAATAAGTCACCAACTAATACAGAAGGGCGCTTGCCTTCTGCTTAATCTATACCACGATGTATGAATGATCCGATTAGGAAAATGGACAAATAGCCTCCCCCGAGCCGTCCAGGACTTACGCAGCCGGCAATTGAAGATATTATTGATACAAATTATTATGTGATTAGTTCTCCAAGTGTACAATTAACGTATTTACTTGGATAAAATACCTACTTTTTACTTATACTTATCCATTGTTATCAAAATTAGGTAAATTAAAGATGACTTGACTATGTGGCTAGAATAGACCCACATAACAACTCTGAGCGTAGCTTATTTTACTAATACCAACAACGTTTGTTATTCTTTCAAATCATTATCCTACGTCTAATGATCAATGGGACGTAGCTTCAATCTCCAACGTAAAACATTTCTGATCAACTTAGAATTCTTTTGAAACACGTTGGACTTCATCTGAAAAATGGTGATAGGATTATCGAAATTCCGTCCAGATTCCACTCACAGATGGAAAAGCCGTTAAATTTAAATGCATTTCGGTTTCAGTCTGTAGATTTTCAAATATCAAAAGCCAAAGTAGGCCGACAGCACATCTTGTTTTGACGTTATATGGCAGAGATATTTCACCTACCATCAAGTGAACTACAAGCTTGAGTCTCCTCTTTTATAAAAAATGATTGCCATTTCCTAAAGCCGCGTACTCTGTAAATAATAGGTTTATTACATGAAAGTGTCTACATTAAGTAAGTACTGAATTTAAAAAAGGGGTCGTAACTCCTACATGCTACTAACTTGTTCAAATATATACATGTATATAATATTAATTTTTAACTAATTGATTTAGTTCCTCTAGACTACTGTATCTTCTATTTATATTGGTATCTAATGTAGGCAATATACCTATGGTAGCACAATCTAGAGTTAAAATTAAAATCACAATCAAATATCAAATTGAAAATATTCGTACGTATATTATTGTGTAATAAAGCTGAGATAACAGAACAATAGGCCGGCGCACAATACGACGTTATCCACGCCGCATGAGAACAATGCATTGCTTTATAGCTGCCCACTGCCCAATGCGCAATGTGGCTCTCACATACTCATTAGCTCGTATGCATCCAGGGTTGGTAAAATATCAAGCAAGCAAGCATACGTAAGCAAGCGACGGCATATGAGCGCTTGCTGGCCGAGGCGACAGTTGACGAAAACTGGCCAAAAACTTACAAAACCATTAGCACGTTAGGTCGACGATGAAAATCATTAAATGACTACATATATAAAGAGATTCGTAGAAAAACATGATGAATTTTTATATTTACTTGTTATAGAATCGCGAATAATATCAAAAATTAATTGATATTAAATTGTATTTATGTAAAAATCGTCAATTTATTATATTAATAGTCAATTTATTTATTACCTAAAAAACACGGTATTATCAATTATTTTTAATATTGTTAGTGATTATCTATAGCAAGTAAATATCAAATGAATAATAGTGGCAACCCTATATAGCTTATAGTGAATATTCCATTTTATTTGTTACAAACCTTACAAACGAGCACGTTATTGATATTTTATTTCGGTTCAAGTGTCGCACGAAAAAATGTCTTTTAATGATCGCAGAGTATAAACTTAATAGTTAAAAATAGCTATTCATGAACCTCATATTTTAATCTTTTTTCTGTAATGTTGCCTACATTATCATTTATTTCATAAGACAACTTAGTAAATGTTTATGGAGACAATATATCGTAACTAAATACTGTCAATAGTTTACGCGAGTAGTACACATTTAAACAAAACATTATATTACAATAAAACACTTTAACGGTTTAAAACGCGATATATTCGTTAAACTTATTTCAAAATGATTTTTAACTTCGGCCCGACGTTTCGGATGCTTTGCAGCAGCCGTGGTCACGTGGAGACTCAAGCATCCGAAACGTCGGGCCGAAGTTAAAAATCATTTCCAAATAAGTTTAACGAATATATCGCGTTTTAAACCGTTAAAGTGTTTTATTTAAATATCGTAACTAATTTATTGTTAACTTAAAGTATATATACATTACATACGATGGCTTAATGTAAATTATAAATCTTTTACATTGAAAAAAAAAAGTTTCGTAGGAAAGCGTAGCTCAATCAGTTCGATCAGCAACATGGAGCGCTGTGGATGCCAGTTCATGTACGGCCCGGGTCGTAATTTTTTTAAATTTATTGGTAATATTAAAAATAATGCAATAAATTATGTGATAAATACTTATCTACTAAGCACAATTATCAAAGAATGTTAAAACGTAACAATCGACTTTTGTATATTAGCTAGTGCACTTTTAAAAAAGAATTAATGTAGGCAGATAGTAGGTAGGTACCTACCTACCTTCGTATTAAAAGATACCTAAACTACTGTTCTAACTAACTAATCAGCGATAGCCGCTTATTGTAATGCTAAAGAAACAAATAATAGTGTTTAACCTTCTAGTATAACATTGGACTATGCGCATACTAGGTATTCAGTTCCTGTTTGACTATGGCTGCTGTATTATCTGACACAAAATAAATAAAACAGTTAAAAGTGTTGTATAAATTGTATCTACTAGTTGTAACAATATAAACTAAATGTACGTAAGTCAAACGAAACTGTATGTTTAAAACTGATATACCTACTTACTTGTTTTAATTCCTACAGCGACGGAACCCATAAATGTCGGAGCCAATAAAACAGTAGCGGATACAAAAACCGTCGTTTTCCCTTAATTACGACAAATACTTGAGATGCGCGTAAATTTATAAAAAATCTGTTAATTACCACAAATATGTAGGCAAAAACATATTGTGTTTGATGATGCCGCGTGCAGCGTACAAATTAAGGCGGTTTAAATGATGCAAATAGCGGCGTAGACACAAAGACAGCGACAAACTTGCGGCATGTAGATACACGCATTTATACCAGTTGCTTCAAAATGTTATTAAGTAGGTATGTAAGTAAAAATTCAATCTACCTCCATATTAGGAGTAGGTGCTGACCGCATAGAAAATATTTCAAGGCTAAATTATTTGCGATTGGTGAATAGTTGTCTTTAATTATATAAGTTACCTTCCAATTAAGTAGTATTTATGTCTATAAAGAAGTCAATATATAATCCGTTTAGTAACACAAAGGTTCGTAGATGTAACAATAAAATAATGGTAAATAAACAAATGTTACAATGAGATGTATGAGAAAAAAGGACAGTTTTAAGGCATGCTAAGCGCTTATTTCAGTAAGTTATAATTTAAGAATTTTATAAATATTTTTAAAGGTACCTACTACTACTAGGATCTAAACCGATTGTAAACAAGTCATAGGTATATTTAATGGCGTTGCGAATGTAAAACTATTGCATAAGTAAAAAAATAATTTGTTTTATTTTAATATCTGCAAGTTTTTTGTTAAGATTATATGATCCATCATGATGCCTAAGGTCTAAAGAAAATCAGCAAACTCAATGAACATAAAATAAACAATCTTTGATTAAAAAAACATTTCTCTTAAATCCATTTCCTTATCATACGCCATAAAGTGTTAACATAATTATTAAGTAACATAAAATATCAATTACATTTCACTTACACCGTATATAACACTATGTACACCCCCATCCCCCCTCTATTCAACCGCAACCAACCAAACGAACAAACAGTCACGGTATCACAACCAAAGTATAAGCTAATTTAAACTCTACCCGCCTATATTAAAGTTTAAAATAAACCTAGTAACATTAAGAATGCACTACGCTTCAAATAATTCAAAGTGTTTGAAATAGAGCGTTGCGATTGGTCGTGGTTATCCAATGGCTCTGTGGGCGTGCCGTATGCGCATGCGCACGGGAGCGCGACGCGGGCGCAGTCGTTAATCGCGCGCCCTGGGTGACGGACGTATGGTGGTGGCTCGCGAGTGGTTTGTGTGTGGTGAGATGATGCTGGGCGGAATGGATGGCAAGGAATATGGCGCGCTACATGCAGCTGCCGCAGCCGCTGGCTACGCAATGGAAACTGGTAAACATTTTATCTTTCTTTTATTAGCCTATTTTTATCAATTAAAAGCCTACTTTAAAAAAATTTGAAAGTAGGCTTTTTCCTTTGGAATGTAAAAGACTATTAGGTAAGTACCTATGTAGAGAAACGTAATTCTTGATAATGGAAAAATACTTTTTTATAATGTTATCTCTTAAAGATCCATTGAAATATTATTTGATGGTCGGATGCGTGACAAGTTTTGACAAAATTTTACATCATTATAGCTGCAAAAATTTAAAACTAGAATATTTAAAAAAGGTTCCTGTTGTTTCGATGGGGAGTTCTTAGTTGTACCTAGCCAACCTACCTAATGTAGGCACTTTTTATTAGGTATTCATCGACTTAACATTTTTTCGTTCCTTTAATTTGAGTAGATACCTAGGTACTTAGATCGATTTATGTTTCAAAAAATCTAGGTATGAGATCCACGTTCAAACAATGACATTTTATTCAGTGTATTTAAAAACCTTCGTCAAACCTATAGCCACCTTTTCCTCTAAGAAAATTTATTCCTAACTTAATAAAACACTTTTAACGGTTTAAAACACAAAATGTATACTATACTTATTTTAACTACCTTTTGCTAATCTGCAAAGCACGCGAACCGTTGGGCCTTAATTAAACTAAATTTTAAAAATCCTAAATTAACTTAGGAATAGGTATACTTTTCATTTGAAACGGTTAAAATTGTTTTATTTGAAATTTTAGATACTATTCGCGTAAAATAAGGACACAACTTAATTTACATTGTGTAACATTAATAACTTTTTCCGTTTTTTAAAGCCGATTTTTTTAGAGCCGAGAGATTGTGATGAAGACGAAAATCGTCTTCATCACAATCTCTTTTTCTTTTAAAAGCTAATTGAGCTATCTTTTCATTTATGTTTAACTAGATAACTTTATCGATATCGATTTCTATTGATTATTATTATTGTAATTCGATTAACTGTCAATGCGACAAGCCCGCTACTGGAATTAATTTGATTGAAATAGATTGGATACGACTTATTGGGAGATATTTTAAAACATTTAATACTTAGTAGCTCAATTTGTTAGAGCAACAAAACAGAACGCTGTGGTTGCCGGTTCAAGCATTGCCCGAGTCCGTACCCAAGTGCAAAAAACAAATTGAATTATTAATGATAAAAATCTTGATAGATCGTTTCCGTCTATTGGTAGCAATAATCGACTGGTCGTGGGTTCCGTCTCCACCAGGACCAACATCTATAAAGCAATTTCTATTTTTTCTAATATACAGTAAACTTTGTAAACTCTGGGTGCTGGATCTATAAAGTGTAATCGCATTTCAGGTACACAGAGCATCTTTCTAAAATGTTAAATAACTATCAATCAAATGAATCTCTTACATAAAAAATTATTTCAGTACTAACGTGTTTGATATGAAATACATGATATGGTTCAAGATTTTTAAATATAAACCTTACATTTACATTTTGGGATGCCTTAGAGATATAAAAAAGCATTATCAATCTGTAGGTACTATACCTATTGAAAATCTTGTATCAACATCTCTCGTCTCAATTTTCACACGACACTACACTAGTGCGTAAATTTAATCCTTATCGTTTCAATTATTTAATATACCTATAAATTAATGATTTTTTCTCTTAATAGTTGGGTGAACTGATTGTAGCGTAAGCTTGGGTACTATCTCTGACGTGAGAAGTTTTGGGGAGTCTGGGTAGTGCGACGTTGAAGCCAAGCCGGACATAATTACTATGTTGTCTATTATGTTTAAATCTTATGCTTAACATTCTATCATTAGACTCCAGACTTCGGTTCCGTGGGCCATTGGCGGCAGCTAAAACTGAGCAGAAAAATTATTAGATAATAAGTTTAAGGTACCTACTTATAATAAAGAAATACCTTAACAGATATTCGTAAACAATATCTATAAATGGCAAACCCTTAAGATATTCTAAAGTATGATTTAATTAAAAACGTTTCTAGCTTATAAAAAAGAAAAGAAGTTTATATTCTACACGTAGTCAAAAGTAAAACGTAACCAAAGCGCTCCACCATGTTTATTTTGGAATCGAACCCAAAACGCACCTGCGATTAAATATTGAGTTAAGTAACTGTATAGTAATAATAATACAATAAGCAATAATTGAAAAAACCTCATTAGTTTAGTGGTAGTTAAGCACAGCTAGTGACGTGCGAGTTATCGCTATCGATAACCCGACCGCGGCCGCTGACCCACGATAGTGCAGCGCTGCGTTTCGCCTTAATGACGATTTTAACTAAAACAGGTAATAAATGTACCGATAAATCCTCTACATACATAGTTAATTGATTGTTTATGTTATGCGATAAATTATGTTATTATAAATCAGTGGTGAAACATTGGATCGCGGGTCTGTTGAATGTTCAATAAACATCTTAACGAATAAGTAAGTAATCTTAATAAGTAAGTGTTTTGGTATGTCTACATTATACATCATTTTTTAACTTGCGAGTACGCCGTTACATATTTCAATTTTAACTTTAAATCGAATTCAGATTGAAAAATGTTTAGAAACATAATCCAAAACCACTTATAATTATGGAAAACGCATCTTTATTTCTAAATACATACCTTCAAAACTGTATACTTGTGAATGACATCACCTTTTTAATAGACCTAATATCAATTAAATTAAACGCTCGAATTCATAATGAATGAACATCGCCGCTTCGGTGACCCGAAGCGACTATGTTATCATTAAACTGACCTTTTTATCGATATCGTCGTTGCAACCCTATTACAGTGATATTTCACTATTGCATATAAATTTAGATTTTTAAGACAAAGTTTGTGTGTTTTATTACAATGTAAGGGTGAAAGTCACTGATCGTAATTAAGGAGGTACTAAAGAAAGGAAAGCAAAGAATATAATTTTAGCCTTGTCTCCTGGCCACCGTAGGTTTGTTTTCTCTTTCACGTATGTATGTCTTTTATTTTATATACGAAAAAATGGTTTTATGCAGTATCATTTTATTGTTTAAAATACAATATCCAAAGCTATCTGAGGTTATCGGGAGCAACTGGCGACGTCAGCGCACGAGCCACGCGTCTAATTACTTCATAATATTAAAATTAATGGCTTTATTTATAATCAAATAACGAGTATTTGCAGTTGTTATTTGCGGAGTACATACTCTCGAGACTTAATTTAAAAAAATAGTAACTAGTAAGTAATTCATTTTTATGACTATTTATTAGTAGGTACTCTTAAGTTTTCTAGGATGTAATTTTATTTTAAAACTATAGAAATTAAACATTACATACATTTATATATGTATATAGTCATTATTTTTAGTTAGAAGAAAATGTCAATAAGGCACAATTGATGTAACTATAAAATTACCCATGTGACAAAGACACTTTGAACTAAATATATTTTACTTTTTATAATGTAATTATACCATATGTGATTATAATAAAAACATTTTATACCTATTATTATTAATTAAAATATTACGTAACATCAACCAAGCTTTTGAATTTGGTGAAGTAGTTCCTATTCTAACCATTGTAAGACAATTAATATGCGCACGCTCAAACTAAATAGTTTGTGAGAATTTTAAAATAATTTCTAAGTAAAGCGTACATACAGCATAAACATTAGCATGTTTGTAATGCGTCTGTTTGCGGAGCGCTTACAGGAGCCGGCAGGCGCTTGACAAACAGAATCAGCTTCTGAATATTATACACTCGTTCCTAAAATCCCTTGAAATTTAAAGATATAGATAGTGCAGATGTGTACCACTAAAACTCAATCGTAAGCTAGCTATCTTGTTAAGAGATATTTTGAGGAAAAGTCTTAAGGAAAGCGTTTATGATATAGATCATTAAAAACGCTTTGAAATTTAATAGCTATACTTATACTTAACTAGCCGTGGAAGCGACTTCGCGTAGATTAGTTACTTTTGGCATTATTATTTGTTTTCGCAAACCTCCTCCTTATCTTTATTAGTTTAGGCTGTTACCCACAATATCTGTGGCGTTCCGTCCCTCTTGCAAGTTAATCTTAATTATCATTCTTTGATACATATTTTTTGGGTATCTTGATTTGTTTTCGCAGCGTAGATACACATCGAATATGGGTCAATATTTTTTCCCTTCTTTTACATCTCCCGGTGATTCTTCGCTCCTATTAGTCACAGTGTTTTGTTTTATAGCCTATACCTATATATATATACCTTCCTCGATAAATGCAACAAAACAAACTCTTCAGCATTAATATTAGTATACTTAATACATTTTGCACCTTCGATCATATTAACATAATATGTAACACAACTAATTTCAAAACCGTTTGTGAGCATAAAGATTACATATAAACTACTAATTCAGTTATGTAATATAAATCCCCACAACTAGAGCGCCAGGACTAAATACAAATCCAAACAAAGAATAACGTTACAATTTCCTGTCAATTAGCCCTGTTTAAAGAGCCAATGTTTGATGGCCGCTGTTCAGTTTGATTCTTATTTAAAAATCCAAAGTGTATAACTAAATTTGGCTCTTATTAACATGCACGAAGGTATAAATTAGTTTGAAAAGTGGAACAGCAGTATTTGGTTTCACATATTACCGTCGCCGATTTTAAATATTTGCGATTTGACTTACGTACCTTTTGTTTTTATTGTCTGGCTTATACTTGAGACCGTAGATTAAAAAATATTATTTTTGAATTCGCGGATAATAATAGGGAAAAATAGATTGTATAAAAGTAATTTATTACATTATAATATTTTATAACCTAAATACTGTCTATAGTTTACGCGAGTAGTACACGTTTAAATAAAACACTTTAACGGTTTAAAACGCGATATATTAGTTAAACTTATTTGAAAATTATTTTTAACTTCGGCCCGACGGTCTCCCCGTGACCACGGCTGCTGCAAAGCATCCGAAACGTCGGGCCGAAGTTAAAAATAATTTTCAAATAAGTTTAACTAATATATCGCGT